CCCACTAGATGGTCGTAGGAGCCAGGTGCCTGGGGCTTCCTCTCGACATTGGGAGAAGTCTTCTCACTTCATTGGACAGCTACCGCCCGCCCCAGCTGGACAGCCCCCAGCCAATAAGGTGCTGTCCCGTCCATGTTCCACTTGTCTCATTGGGTGCATGAGACTAAGGGCTGGTTCCGAAAAGCGGACCGATAATCAACGCACCGGCGAATAACACAATTAATCGAAACTCAAAGGCCTTGCGTGACAGATCTCCAGAAGTTCCCACGCGGGTCCTTCGTTCACGCTCCCGTGTTGGATATACGCCCCACTGCCTTGTGGGTCAGACTTTTGAATCAAAGGCTCCGGTTAGGGTTCCCAAAGAAAAACCCCTTCGTCGGTCTGGGCTGCCGCGAAATATGTCATGCCCTAGCGCCTTAGGTAACCATTTGAAATACTATCTTTCCCATCTGTCCAGTTCTTCTCAATCCCAATGAATCTCAGGTGCCTCCTGTATACGCCACCCATCGAATATCGCTCAGCGTTTTACCATTAAGGTGAGAGATTCAGAAGCTGTAGAATTTTTGAAGCCAAAATCCCTTTTTCACTTAGCCGCGTTCAATGTTCGCACGCTCTATCAGATTGACCAACAAGCTGCCCTGGTTAGAACCCTCGAAACTTTCATTCTAGATGTATGCTGTCTCCAAAACACACATACAAGACCCTACTTCCATTATCTCTGCGTTCTCCTGATCTAACCTCAACCTCACGCTTCACTCTTCGTGTGTTAGGCGAGTCGGTATCCGAAGCTCGCGGTGCTGCTGGTGTCGGGATTGCGCTTAGTGCCAAGACTGAGCGCTCGCTTCTTGACTGGATTCGTCAGTAGCTGATTGTGCGCTGTACGTCTCAACGGTTCAGTTCGAGTTAACAGCTACAGAACGAAGCGTCGATGCTTATTCGTCGTATCGGCGAATGCACAGACCGATTGCAGTATACCTGAAATTAAGGATGAATTCTACCAGGATCTCTCTCAACTACTCCAAAGTGCTCAATCAACGGACGTCGTAGTAGTCGCCGGAGACTTCAATTCTCAAATGGGACCCCTGGACGAATCACAAAGGCTTCTTGGCGGACCACATCCCGTCCCAGTCAACTGGACGGACAGCGGAGATCGCCTACTTTAACTCTGCACGGAACACGGATTGTTCTTGTCAAACACGAACTTCTCGCACAAGAAACGCCATCGACTTACTTGGAACCAACCTCTTCACTGCGCTGGACCCAAATTGACCACATCGCCATCAGTTACCGCTGGAGGAGATCAATCCAAGACTGCCGCTCTTACTGATCAACAGCTGTGGATACAGACCACGCCTTGTTGCGAGCCAAGTTCTCCTTACGCCTGGCGAACAACCGCAAAAAGGCCACCGACAAAGGATACCCGTGATACAGTGTCAGCGATTCATGCAAATCGGCCTTCGAAGTGGAGCTCTCCGATCGCCTGTCAGTTCAACCGCCAGTCGAAGGACTCAATGAACACTGCAAGCAAATCAAGGAAGCTATGCAGATATGGATAAAGACAACGTCGGACCCTACCTCAAGCTCAAAACACAAACAATGGATATCATCGACCTCGGTTGCTGCTGGACGCCCGC